CACAGGAGGTTCTTCTACCACATGTGCTTTGTTTATAAATCACAGTCAAAGCATTGACATATCCTGCCCTGCTCAATCAACAAGCTCCTTTACTGTATGGCTGTGGGAGGTTTCTTGCAAATGGCAAAACAGTGCTTCAACAACCTGTAAAAGCTGCAATTAACTGTGGATGAAAAGGATGGTCTCCTTGGAGGTGCTGGGTAATCAAGCAATTATAAACTCCTTCCCATTACCTGCATTTCCACAAAGCAGAGCTAGAATGACATTCCTCCAAATGACTGTCTTTCCATCTGTTTAAGCCCTTTATATGATTTGGCTTCAGCAGAGAAGTCTTGACCTCTGAGCTCTCCTCAGCCTTTTCTCCCATCTTAAATAAAGCAAGCATTGTAAGCAGAGCTTTAAATCACTGGTGTGTTCTCCCTCTGCAACTCTTTTGCCTCAGCCTTCCCTGAAGCACAGCAAACTCACCAGCAATGGCATATATACGTATGCAGATAGGGATACTTGCAGTCAGGATTTCTTGGGATCCCTCATCTGACAACATCTGAGGCTGCTCAGCTTCAACCATTTCTACTCCTCTGCAACAGTTTCAGCAACTGTTAGATGTGAAGGTAAGTCAAGAGACAAGGAGAGACACTCACTCCCATGGCTAGTCACATGCCTTACAGCAGCCTGTCACTCACCAAGCAATGACAGCCTGGACACACAGCACCTGGGCAGCCACACGACAAAAGCACCTCATCAACATGGGAAAGATCCTGCCTGGGACCACACTTCCCTCAGCTGGAGGTGTGCTAACTTTATCCTTGCCCTTATCCCCAACCAAACAATCTCACACCAGAGACAGGAGCAATGACTAGAGAAGCTGCCCAACAGGAACATGCAAGAAAGAAGCAGGAACTGGGATAGGGATGGGGAAGAAGGGAGTGTCTCCCACCAAGGAAAATTACCTCCAACATGAGTTAAGGCCTGAGTAGAGTATGGCACAAACATACATGAGTACGGCACAGACACAAAGATATCAAGGAGAATAAGAAGTCCCAGGGAAAAGGTCAATAAGTTGATTGAAAAATGCCGATGTGTAAGGATGGGCTGGAAGCTGATGAGCAATAGGATGTGAAAAGTGACATTTTGCTGTACACAGGAGAAGTAATACAGTGGCACTGAGTGGGTAGGCTATGGCCTACTTGGATGTGCAACACGAGGAGGTATTTTGGGACAAGAAAGAGTGTGTGTTGGCACAGAGAAGAGTACACAGTGAAGCAAGGAGATGCCACAGTGACACACAACTGTGACAGCACTGTGCAGTAGCAGAGAAGTGAGACCATATTAGGGAATGCACTGGACAGTAGTGGAGCCAGGCAACAGAAAGGCACAAAGGATATTTGGAAGACCAGGGTTGTATAAGCTGACAAGTCCTTCTGCAACCACTACATCCTATGACAAGGGGTGATGTGAAAGGTCCTTAATCAGAACAGAGTGGCATCATCTCCCCAGTATCCCTGTACCCCACAGCCACATGACAATCCTTTCCAACAAACCTACCAGGGGAAGGAAATGTCCCTAATTCCAGTGCTGTCAAAATTTCTTCCACCTTTTCTAGTTTCTAAACACAAAAATTTTGTGCTTTTAAGGTGCACCCACTCTGAAAGTTTTATTTTCCAGAGCTTCTCATCAGTCTTTCTTCCTAAAATGTGTGGTGTCCACATTTCACCAGAAGTTGCCTGGCTCTGCTCTGCATGCACTTCGTTGAGTTACAGTACTTAGCTGAACCAGCTGTCTCTCCCTGTGTCATTAATAGTTCTGCAGAGAAAGAACGTATTTGGCTTGCTTTCATTTTCCACGCTTGACACCTTTTCACTTTCAGAACTTTGTTCAAGCAAGGAAGATAAAAATAGAGGCAGGAGAGACTCTTTCATTCATATCTTAACACCCATTCTTATGAACAGAGCTTTTCCCAACTGCTCCAAGGAATACACCCAGAACAAGCCCAACCTGCAGTATCTCCACTGTCTCCCAAAAAGATTCTTGCTCTGTGATCCCAGTGGTGATAGTTTCCAGGAGTTATTGCAAAGATTTCTTTGTGCAGCCTCTCCCACTGCTACTGCCTCGTGTTACCCTGCAAATCCCACCATCCACCTCAACCTCTTGCATATAACACTCAAGAGAATGATCACCTCCCACTATCACTCATCCAAACCACTGTGGCTGAGATTAGAAAGCCAGCATTTGCACACTACTGATTATTTTTATCCCAACGATCCCTGATAGGTACACAAACTAGCCCTGGACTTAAAATAGGATTAGACAGGAAAACCCACTAGTCAGCATATATGATGCTTCTCTTTCTGTGTCAAACCTATGCCATTTGCCTTTACATCAGAGATACATGCTGCAGCTCCCAGTCCCCAGCCATGATGCTAGCCTAAAATGGGAGACCCCCATCAGCAGGGTATCAAGTAAGTTTGTGTGGGGGCAACAGAGTCATGTTGAACTGCCAGAAATCCACCTCACAAATTCTCTGTCTTTGCTCAAACATCCATCCCATTGGCATGGTCTCCATTTAAGCCAGTTTTCCCACAAAACATTTATCAAAGATCCAAGCCCATGATAAGATTTGCAGGAGTAGGTCACATCAGAAGGCTGACTACTTCTAATTGACTGAAAATATAATGCTTCTGTACATGAAATTGGCTTTTCTGATCTTCCTGCCCTTTTGCAAGCTCTTGCCTAATTTGTTAGCTTGTCACATTCCTCCCTGGGTATCACTGTATTTCCAGTTTCTCTTTCTCCCATTTGTTCTGCACTGATCCAGGCTGTATGTAATTACTTCTTGCCTACACTTAAGATTCATATAAAGAGCCCTGCTCTTGGTCCTGACAGGAGTTCTGGAAGTCCTACCACCAAATTCAAGAGCAGCAGGACTAGGCCTAGGCACCGTGAGAAGATTCCCCTATTGCCATTTTTTTCTTCTATTTGAATTCATCTGCAAGTTCCCAGGTGTGATGCTGGCACCAGGAATGAAAATTTCAGGATCCCTCTCTGCACTCTTCTCTGCCCTGATACTCCACCTTCCACTCTGCCACCTATATTTCAGCTAAAGTATATCATATTTAAAATATACTGAGGATCTGGCTACACTGAAATCAAATTTGTTCCTGAAGCAACCCTTTTAAACCCTCTAGGCTCCAGCAATGACAGCTTTGGTGCATTAGGTTCCTAAATCCTTTCTGGTTTTAAATATCTTGATTTGGTACCTTGTAAATATTAATACAGGCATTTACATCAGCTTTTAATACTACCCAGTTTTACAAGGTCCTTTATTTTTATATATGTAATTCTCTTCATTTATCTCTTTTATCATTGCTCTCTTTCTCTTGTTACCATTTCCTCTCCATCACTTTCTTCCCATTTCTACCTTTTTTACACTCCCTCCCTCTGTAACTTTAAAATTAAATATTGCCCAGCACTGCCCATGCGAAGGAAGTGAATGCTATGAGGTAAGGTTGCTGTGGAGACTGTATTCGAGCTGCTTCACTGGGATCAATGAGGCACACAGCGTTCATCTAGCTCCCAAGAAGCACAAAGAAACCAGGGATTATCAGTGGCAGCTGCACACACACTTGAGAGAAAAGGTCCCACCCCCAAGCACCTACTTCAGCCTTTAAGAGACACCAAATAAAGTGTGCCAGAGGTGGCTAGTGTGGTAATTTAACATGGATTAACTTTGGGGTGGCTTTCCACAGCTCCTGTGGGAGATTGTCACATGGGAGCCCATGGAGACAGAGGCCTGCAGGGAGCGGTCAGCCTGCTCTGCTCCATCTATCACTGAGCTATGAAACAGTTGGTACCAGCTGTGCTACAAGGATAGAATCCTAACAGAGGGAGCGTGTTGCAGACTGGGGGCTGACATTAACCCTGCCATTAAACTGTAGGGAAATATTAATGGTCATTCTTGGCTAGACAATATGTATACCCTTAAACTACACATAGGCAGACTCGCCCTATTCAAATATGCCCATAATACACCCTCTAGGTGCAAATACTTCCCTTACCTCATGTTTCCCCCACACCTCCTTACCACACAGTCAAACAGGCCAGAACAACCAAAATAACCCCAAAAACCTTTATATATGAGAAACAACAGATGTACACACTGCTTCCCTTATTCAACCTTCTGTCTTCCTCCCCCTCACACAACTCTCCCTAGCATCACCTTTGCATACTGTTGCCTCCTGCCTCCCTCCTTACCATTGCAGCCATGATCCTTGAAATGCTTCTCCTCAACCTGGGCTAGAGTGTGAGGGGATATCTTGTAAAGAGCAAGATGCAAAGTAGCAGAACACCCTCAGTAATTTACTGTGGTTACTTCCCTTATATCTAAATGAACACAGTCACCTACCTACTGATCTCAGTGCTGTGGGCTGCTGAGGGTTAATGATGGCACTGACTCCTGAGCTACTGCGTTACCTGACTGCAGCACCAAAAGTGATTTATGCTATTATTTTCTTTGGGGGTTAATTAGGGGCTCGAGAAAGTAAAGGGCTGTCAGTGCTAGCTGGAATTGGTCTAGTGCAGCCAGGGGAGAGCAGTCATCCCTCACAGAGCTCTGCCAATATATCTTTGTCCTAAACATCAATACCTCCAGCTCCCACTCCTCAGTGTGGCAGACAGCCCTCCATCCTGACCTCCAACAACCCTGTTCATCTTGGCATACAGAGTACGCTGCTCTGCTGAGTCCTGCCATTTCCATTTGGCACCTTTCAAACCCTTCCTCCTCTGTTATCTTCTCCTCACCAAAGCCTGCCAATAATGCCCATTGATGGACAGGGAAAACTCGCATGGCCTTCACTCAGAAGCAAGGACAAGGTACCTCCCCTCGGTATCTCATATAACTGAGAAACAGCAGTTTTCCTTCCTCTAGCTGCTGTCTTCCTTCCTCTGGCTGTCCGGGGCTTGCTGAGGCCTGAGAAGCCAACACATGTTATGGCTGCCCCTACCTCTTTTCCCAGATCCTCACGGATAACTTGCTCAATCTCCTGCCTGGTGCTCTGCGGGGCCTGGCTATGCAGCACCTTGAGGGTGCGGGTGTACTCCTCAGGCAGGAGGTAGTCCAGTGCTCCCAGGTGCTGCCCCACCTTGATGAAGGTGCCTCGGTTGGAGCAGCACAACTCCCGGAGGCGCTCAGCAGAGCGCAGGTGCACCTGCAAAGAGACCAGAACATCCGTCAAGCCCTTTTGCTGTCTGTTACATGCATATGTCCACATATGTATCTTTTTTGTCCAATATTTAAGCAGACCAAGGATTTCCATTCTTGATTGTAGGCATCATCATCTAATGTGTCAGTCCACTATTAGGACTCTGGCTGGATTTAAAGGATCTGAACCAGACCAGGACAAGATACTCCCAAATATAAAGGGCTTCAACACTTGCTTGCATAGGCAACACGATCAGTAACAGCACATTTTGTCTGGCCATAGGGCAGCATTGGTTTGGCACTGCAATTCTGCACTATGATGCACAGTTTGGAAACTCCTTGACAAAAGAAAAAAATCATCACCACAACTCTTATGTTAGACTCTTAGTGTGAGTGCAGTGAATTAAAATGAGAAGAAAACCACAGATACCATCCCAGAAACTCCCAGGAGTTCAGAAGAAGAGTCTGTTAAAAATCAAAATTACAGATCTCTGCTTGGCAGTGAGGAGGACAGTATGTGCGCAGTCCTTCATCTTTCTCACCTCACTTTGAAACACACAAGGGGAAATTACATCCCTCCAGTCCAGTCAGGTCTTGGGTCTTAATGCTTACATTGCCAACAAAGTCTGCAGTGACAGTTGTTTGAGCAACTAAGTGTTGTAAGACTTGCCAGCTGCGCTCACAGTGGCCAAAATGCAACTTCCAAATGACAAAACCCATTGCCAACCACTTGCCTGGTCTGTATTTCAGCTCTTATGGTTCCTTTTGCTCCTCAAGAACACACCAGCCACCACATCCTTCAGTGACAATGATTTATTCTCCCTTTATTACTGTCACTAGAAAAGCCTCCTACCAAGGACACAGCTATATTGAATAATATTTAATGAGCTTCATATAAGTTTATCCTGATACATTCATAAAACCTAAGCAGATCAATAACAAAAAATAACTGTACACCCATGTCCTGTTAATGCCTGACACCAATCTGCATGAAGTCTCCTCATTCCTCCGGCTTCTGTGTCAGAAGTCATTGAAGGTCAAACCCTGTGTCTGCAGCCCTCAACTGCACAAGATCCTGTGCAGTTGTGATGGACTCCACCAAACACCTTGAAGTATGTGACAAAAAGGAACAATACCACAAACATTCATGAACACCATATATACCCAGCCATTCAGTAGCTATATTTGCTCTCTGTGCAAAGCAGTGCCATGTCACATCATGGGACAGGCTGAGTGTCTCGCATTTGGCAATGTGTCGGGGACAGACTGAGTGCTGGATGCAAGTGCATGAAACACACGCCTAGGGGAGTGTGAGGAGAAAGACTAATGTGCAAGTCTCACCCTCAGTGTGAGACTTCAGAGTTTGATGCACACATGCTCACACACACGTACACGCACATTTTCCTACATGGGCAAATACAGGCAAGTGTAACTCATGCTAGGTGAGTGAGCTTCGCCCAGCATTGCCAGCTCAAAAACACTCACACATGTAGGCTGCAAATAAAACCCATGAGTATGCCTCAAGTCTCACACATCATTCTCCTGCATTTTACACAACAGCTTTGAAGCTCCTGCTGTAACAAGCCTCTGCCCTAGCTCTTTCCCTGCTCTCCTTCCCTGTGTGCAGCAAGGACAAAAGCAGGGAAAACGGGAACAAGGAAAGGAAACTGTAACAGAAGAGAGCAAGAAGACCAGGGTGGGAGTAATGGGATGAAAGAGAAAGGGAGAGAGGGAGCCAGTGCAGCTGGGTTGCTTGTCACAGCACAGGGAGTGCAGCCCATCACAGCGAAACAGTGTTTTTGCAGCTCTAATAGTCACCCTCTACCCACTGCCTCCAGCTGTGGAGGAAAACCCCTGCCAGCAGTGAAGGAGAGTGGTGGCCAGCCACATACCTCCAAGTATTGCACAGCCATAGCCAAAAGCATTGACAGGAAACAGGGGCAATGCACTTACAGATATGTTCCAAGAAACCCAGCACTGAGCTCCCAGCATTGAGCTCAGGCCAGCACAGGGACCTGCAATCTCCCACACACAGCAGCAGCTCATCAAATGACTCCAGGTTGCAGCATGACTCAGGGCAGAGCAGCAGCAACCCGGGGCTGTAGTGCAGTGCTGGGTGCCAGGCCAAGCAGCCAGCTCAGGGTAGAGGTGCTGGCTCCAGCACATTACCCACACCGCATGGATTCCCAAGGGAGATGGGAAAAACAGGCTGGAAAACTCATGCAACTAAACTAAAAATGCAACTGGTTGTAGACATGCCTCCATACAAGGGTGTATCTTCACATCTGGGTTAGCGCTGAGAAGGAGGTGGCAATAGCCCCTTTTTCCTCTAGAACAAGGTGAGAGGAAATTTTTGCCCTCACAAATTTATCCAAGCTGTTGAGAAGCTGGTTGGCCTCATGGATGCAGCAGTCCTGGACAAGAGGATCCTTACAGAGGGCCCCAGGAACAAAACAGAATAAAATGCCCTTCAAAGCATCCTCCGCAGTGCTCTCACAACTGGCTTGGCTTAAACACCTAAGAGACAGATGCCCTGGCTGGCTGGCTGGCTGGACCAGGGAAATCCAGCTCCTGCACTTCTGGAGAGATGAGATGACCAAGCAACTTATCCCAGAAAAATTACATCTCTATTCCTACATCTTACAAAACTCCAGTCTGCATAAGAGGCAGAAGTACATAAGAGGCAGAAGTAGGACTGTGAATGCAGCTTCCAAGGACTCTTTTCTTATCAACCAGATAAGGTTTTTTAGAGGAAGTTTCCTAATGATCTCTGTTATTTTCTTGGATCTCCCCAAGACAGGTCACTCCAGATGCAGCACTTGTTTCTCTGACAGACTACATTCCCCTAATCACAGACAGAGCGTCACATTCCTATTATGATGTTCAATAGCGGTGGCCCACATTTCTGTTCCTCCTTGAAGAAAATGCAAGGTGAATGGAAACCCCCAGAATGGCTCAGAACTTTTCTGCAAGATACTGCTCTATGTTGCCCAAGCAAAACTTCGAAGACTGCTTTTATCAGAGGAAAGAGCTGGAAACAACACCTAGTTTTACACAGATGTATTCACAGACCCCTAGGAGCACACTACAAAGAAAGGAAGCATTTCACGTACCAAGGAATATCAAGAATAAGCTTCCATCAGAAAGCCCTTCAGATCACAAATGCTGTCTGTGCACACAGCTCTTTCCTCAGTCCACATGGGCATCCCTTTCTGTCTCAAAACCCTTCTCCAAATTTCAGCAGGACAAATTCTACATTGGCCCAAATGGCTATCCGACTCCTCTGCTTTACCTAAACCTCAGTTAGACTGGGATTAACACTGATTATTAAAACCGTGAAAGTAACAACTCTTAGGTGTGGAGAAGAGGCATCTCTGGGATGAAGCACATGTTCAGCAAGCAGAGCTGCAAAGGTATGTATTTTAATTTATCTTTGATGTACAATCAGACCTGGCTTCTCAAGTTGCTTTTTTTTTTTTTTTTTGGTTGCTTTAGGAGGAGCCTTTACTCACACAGATTACTGGCACAGAACCGCTCATCAGAATATCACACGTGCAGATGTCTTAAACTGGCAGGTGCTGATCTGGTCTTAACAATAAAGGAATTAATTTAGAAGAAAACAAATACTCAAACTAAAATCTACCAGTGAGAACTTCAGTATTTGATATCTGGTGACAGACCTGGTGGCAAAAGTGCTCAGAAAGGCCACTGAACACAGTAAAGTAAGTGGTGGAAGCAACTCCTCATATGAAATCCCTCAGTAAAGATATCCCAGCTCTGCAGGGCATACTCTTAGCTGGCAAAAGGTGAAATGAGGATTAGGAATGCAGAGAGAACAGCCTGTCCATCACTGCTTGCAATGGAGAGACACTCTCCAAGACAGTATTTCAAGAAAGGTGTCTCCAGAAAACACCTGGGAAACTTCAATCACATAAAAATTAGAGATGAATTCAAAAAGTAGCTGAGATGCTAATAACCATAATAAAAGGAAATCTCATATTAAAACTGTTAACTTGCAGAGGACTGAAAGGGAATAAATGTTGCCCTGATTTTAAGAAAAATCTAGACTAATCTGGGAAACTATAGTCCTGCAAACTTTAATTCTGTATCAACTAAATTAGTTGAGACAATAATTACAGAGAGTACTAAAAATCATCTAGCTAAATGTGATATGACTGATAAAAAGCCAACAGGGATTTTGAGGGGAAAAAAATCATTTTTCACCAGTCTACCAAAATACTGTGAGCTTGCTAATACAATAGAGAATAGAAAAGAGGTATTAGAAAAGAGGTATTTACTAGGACTTTCAAGTGGCTTTCAATAAATATCCTCACAAAGAATGAAAGGAAAACTCAGTAATTATTGGAGATACAAGAACATCACTTCCTCATCCCATTCCCAGCTCAGAGACCCAGCACTACAGATAGCAGCAATGGAAGACACTCCAATTAGGACAAGGCAGCAACATTTAGTGCTGTTTTCACGACAGTTTCATTTCAACCTGCTCTGAGCATTTTTAGACCAGATGATCCTGCAGAAGCCTTGTCCATCTTAGGACCTGCATTCATTGTTACTTCCAGGGAGGATGAACTAGCACTGAAAACAGAGAAACATGATGAAAAGGGGAAGAGGTCCAGGTAGTGCACAGATGGAGCTCTCTACTATAAAAGGATTGACCTGCATTACTGTTAAAAGCAAACAGCAAAGTGTCCCATTATACCTGTTCTTACACCAAAGTTTAACTTTCTTGCTAGTGATCTGGCAAAGAAGAGAATAGTGCAGCGACAAAAATTCCACGAGACATAAGAGATATTATTCACCACTGTGGAAAAGTAAACTCTGCCAAAGACAGGCGAAAAATCAATATACTGGGAGATCTTACACTCAGCATAGACGGCTACAAGGTCACACATATTGGGAGGTGCAGTCTGTCCTCCCCGCACACACTGCTGGGCTCTCAATTAACTGGAACCATCCAACACTTGGATCACATTCTTGTGGACAGCT